GGCTTGATCTCAAGCAACCATTCAGCTCCCCAACTATCCCCTGCCAGCTGGGCCAACACCCTCTGGACATTACCCATATACATCGCAAGACTGCTGGGAGGGAGCAGCAGCAGAAAAAAACCTCTCCCCGGTGGGCAGAGCAGTTCTTCCAATCAACCTACCAGAGGAGCAGGAAGCAAAGCAAAACAATTTTCCAGCAATCCCTATAGGATAGGAAGCCAATTGCCAGAATCAGCAGAAACAGATCCCAAATGAAAACACAGTTCTGGGAAAGGGAAGGCTAAACAGAAACTTTACCCTTAAGTTTCTCAAGGCAGCTGAGCAGATCTAGCTCACCCCTCCCTGCCTCTCCTCTACCCTCTCCTGTTCCTCTTTACACCTCTCTAGAATTTGTCTGACCCTGCAACAAGCTATTTCAGCCTACCAGACCAGAGGAGAACTAACTGGCCCCCAACACAGTAGAGTAAATGGGGTTTTTGCCCAGCTGGTGGAATGAATCAGCCCACAGCGATGATCAGCGAGGCTCACACAGGGAAGCAGTCGCTGTGGTCGGCCAGCAGCAGGAAAGGAGGGGTGGCATGACTAATACAGCCGAGCTCTCGGGAGGGCTCAGCCATCGCTACAGGAAAGTGGGAAGCTTCCGTGCTCTGCCACAGATATTTCCTCTGCTCTGAAGTAATGAAAATCATTGTACAAGTCACCTGTGAATATATATTACCTCTCTGCCAGCATTAGTCTGTTCCATAGCTTTAAGCTAAATGCTGGGAACCACTTCCCACAGGACTCACATGTTGGTCTTAACTGAGGCTTTGGAACACTCCATTCATACAAATTCATAATTGTTAGCAACTTCAAATTACTCAAAGATAAAAAGAGAGAGAATGCTGCATGGTCTGTTGCAGGACATCCTATTACTGTTTTGGCAGTGCTGGTTTCTGATTAATTTGTTCTGAAAGAAAGCCTGTTTTTAATGTGGGTTTCAACTTTTCTCCTTTCTGGTTTTGAGCCCAACCCCACTGACAACACATGAAAAGAGAAGGCAAAACGCAGAGTACCAATTACAACTTCATTTCGTAAGTTCAAGTTCACAGAGCCAAACACCAAATAATAAAAAAAGCTTTAAATTCCACTGCCAATATTCCAATACTTCATTTAGAAGAAGAAAAGAAATATGTTTAACAGGTTTTCAGCCTTTACTTTCAAGTGAATAACCTTTCCCTCTCCCTCAAATGAGAAATTAAACCACCCTTACAAGATGTTCCTGCAAAGTGTCATTTCTCTTGCTGTGCGGTATTTTCCCCAGTAGCAATCATCAAATGAGCAAGTGAATTTTCCTACCTTTCTTGTTTGAGCACTTAGAGGCTTGTCATGGTCAGCCTCACTTTCCTCCACATTATCTTCTTGTAATTCAATAATCTCACGCTCCTGACCAGAGTTTTGCCTTTTCATAGCTTCTGTCTCTGCGCGAGGACCTCTGTCTCTGAAGCAAGGGCGGAGGCAACTCATTTCCCTTCTGGTTTCAGCAGTGCTAATGGTCAGAAGCAGTTCTAGTACGAGGCTGGAGACAGTAACAGTGAGAATTGGGGTAGTTTTCACAGGAGCAATCTCAAAACACTGATAAATAAGGGGAATTCCTTGAAAGGACAAATAATGTCATCTGCAGTAGCCACAGAGAAACGGGAGGCGGGGGAAATATCGATTTGCCTAGTCGCCAGAACTGCAGCCTTCAGCTGTGCAATACTAGGTTTTCCAGTTTGTCTACCTTACCGTACCAGCCCTTGACAAGCACAAGGAGGTGACTAAACCTTCTGCAATGTTGTCATTTGCTGAGGCAATTTTGAAAGGAACCGGATTGCTTTCACTGCTGCTCTCAGCTGAAACCGTAAAATACCGTTGCTGTTATCCGTGCAGATAAACAAACAGATGTGGTTCTGAACAGCATAAACTGAGTGAAGGACCATATAGACTGTGGTTTGGTTAGGCTCTGAAGGGAACTTAGAATATCCATCAACGTTTCTAATTTTAGTCTCCCTCTATAGTCAATAAAGAAATGAACGCTACCGACCTTTGTGCCATGAGTTGTCCTTTCTCTAGCTGTTATGCAGCCTAAAATCACATTTGGTGCTAAAGCACCGTTTATGTCTATTCGCATGCTATTCAACCTAAACCCGAGAAGCCACTCTATGTAAAAAAAAAAAACACAAAAAGACAAATATGAAGAGAGGAGGGAAGGTGGCCTTCAATTTTAACCTGTGCTCTATGGGGCATGCTTTTATGAAGCAAATCATGGTGTGAGTTGAGATCTGGTCAGCATCAGCTTCCCCCATGAACATGGTACTTACAGTCACTTATAACAACTTACTGCAGTCAGGGGCCAATTCCTCCCCTCACTCCCCCAGTATCCTTCATCCTACCTCCTCTAATTTCTCCTGTTCTGACTCCATCTTTGTGTTTCTCCTTCCTCCTCACAGAGCACCGTTTTCCCCTCTGGATCAAAAGAGTTGGGCAGGCAGCCGGTAACTGCACTCTTGCTCACTCTCTTGTCCCAGCACAAACTAGATCATGCATTAAGAGGAAAACAAAGCCTCTTTCTCCAAGTCCCTCCCTTGCTGGCTGAGCATCCACTCACAGCACTACTCCTCCTTTTTTTCTGCCAAATGCTAGAGATCTTTTTCCTCCCAGCAGATTTTCCCATTGCGCAACTCATCTGACTGCTGACTCCCAGGGTTCAGATTCCTGATGTCGTGTCACAGCCATCTAGGCAAAGGCACTCCGTCAAGCTGGGCACATGGCTTGGTTTCATCCAGCAAATAAAAAGAAATACAAATTGCATACCCCACCTTTTGGTTCTGGAGAATCCTTAAAACTCCAGAGGACTGAGGATGAAGCTGAGCAGCCATGAAATCAAAACCTGTGTCTGGATCCACAAGATTTTACCTGGGATATCTTCATTAGAAAAAGCCTTTACCTGCTGGTTCTCAATATTCCCACTGGAGCTGAGCTTCATTTATTTCATTTCCACTCACAGTAAAAGACCTTACCTTCCTACTGAATTGTCTGAAACAAAAAGAGTTTTCCCAAGTCAAATGAGTTAATGATTATGGATCTCAGCCTGCAAAAGCCAAAGTCCTTTTATTTACATCTGTGAAGGAGCTCCTTACAAAGTCTCGAGTTTCTTTCGTCTGGGTGATCCAGCTGTCACACTTGGTGTCGTTCTTGCATGTGAAGTAACTGACCCTTTTGACGCATGGAACTGAGAAACTCAAAGAAAACGGGAAGTCAAGAACTGATCTGAACTTTCTGGCCTAGGTTTTTATCTAAAACAGAACTGCAGGAAAACTGTTTTCTTTTGTAGTGAAGGCATCTCTGGTTTCAATATAAGGAAAGAAACTTGTGCCGTTAAACATGTGCTTTAGTAAAATGGGCAAGTTAGGCTCAGCTTTACAAACAGAAGAAACTCCAAGGTACAAATGTAGTTCTGATTGCACCTGAGGATTAGAGTTTCAGATTTGCACATGGATTACTGTGCTAGCTCATTCCACTATTTCCCCGCCCCATGCTGCCAAGGTGGGTCTAAAAGTAAACAAGACCACATATTTAAGTACTGTAGAATAAAAGCGTGCCGTGTGGACAGCAATGATTGGTATTCAAATTGCCAGCTGCCTTTTTTTTTTTTTTTTTAATACATTAAAGGTGAAAGCTAAACCACTTCCAAACACTGAACACAATTTTAAGACCATCTAGAAAGACTGTCTAGATGGTCTTAAGATCATCTTGACAAATCTTTTATTAAACTGAATACCAGCATTCTTAAGTCCTATGTACAGCTTTGGAAACCTTAAATCAGCTAGATTTGGGCCGATCGGCTCATCAGGAGATTGTAATTATCAAAGCTAGATTTACTGCTAAGATTAAAGTAATGTGGCCGTCATTCCCTCTTCTATATTCTTTCAGTTGAAGGATGCATCCAACCACATAAATCCCTGCTCCCTTTTCCTTTTATGTCCCTTTCAATGTTATGTGGACACATGGGCACAGCTCAGGAAGAAATACAAACCAAAAATACTGACCCTGAAACTCTTCTTACTGCAGACCAAGGACATCAGGAAAAGCAGCATGAACCCACCAGGAGCATGCTAAAGTTCACGAAGCATGCCAGAGCTGGGGAAATACACTTTTAATATATTGCAAACGTCAGACCCTACAATTATGTTCAAATTGTAAAGAGAATAAGAAAACGCCAAAGTTTCCTTTTGTTTATTTAATCAAAACTGAGTATTTTTTTCCTCTTATTTAAACATCATCCCAAAGAACCCAAATGATGCTCTTCCAGTTCTTTAATAAAAATTTCTTGCACCCTAACATTTGTGAGCTATATATCTGGTGTTTTGAGGAAAACACAGGAGACAGCCCAAAAGTTACACCCAGAAAGGAACAGTCATGCAGTGGCAGCATAACTAGAGAATGAATTAATCTCAGCTTTGTACACTATACTGACTATAGTATTTTCAAGAAACATGAAATAACTATGTTTAGAATACTGTAACATCACTAAGGTAATATATATGAGTTGAGTATATATGGGATGTGTCCATGAACATGGCCATATTGAATATGAATATATTCATATATTAATATGGCCAGATATGTGTATGTGGAAACATATATAGATATATACATGGCAAGGGAGATGGAAGGAGGGGAGAAGATCTGCAGAAGAAAGATTTGGCTGGATTTTTGTTACAAGTTCTAACTGCTGTTTTTAAGGCAGTGCTGTTTCTGCTGCTGGGGTTAAGGAAGATGAATCCGTAAGGAATATGAAGCTGCGCTGAATCTGAACAGTTACTGCTAGGTGAACAAATGATAGTTTCTTCATTACATCCTTTCACAAAGAAACAGTCAATGGCACTTCCATGCTGTATCATCGGAGATGGACATGATAGACTACTGTAGGAAGCAGCTTTCATAAGGGAGATGAACTGCATTTTCTCCTTGGCACATCAGCTTGTATTCCAACGAATCCAGTCAAAAAGTGCTGCCACCTTAGTGTATACACCAGGACGATTGCGCCGACCACATCCTTCACCCCAGCTCACAATGCCAGCAAGGTACCACCTAATTCCTTTTCCTGTGCAGGCCAAAGGACCTCCAGAATCTCCCTAAAATGAAGGGAGTTCAGCCATTAGTGCGCTTATGCGTGCATGCATACATACACAGAGCTTTGTAACAAAAGATAGGTTATTTAAGGACAGCAAATACCTCCCCCCCTCTTTCTTAAATTACAACTTAATATTAGAATCTTATTTCTGGGTAGAATGTACCCAGCTAGATGTCAAATTTATTAATTTTATTTTAATTTATGGAAGTAGCAAACTAATCCATATAAAGCAATGGCAAGAAGTTTAAAATATTATTCAATGTTAATGTCCCATTACTGGATTCGTAAAGCAACTGATCATAGGCTGAGCGGAGAGAGGAGAAGACAGGGATGGAAAGTGGGAGTTCTGCTACTATTTGACCATAAATTTTTCACAGATTGAAGGCAGAGCTCTTATACTGTCTATTAAATAGGAACAGAAAGATACAACACACCCACAACAAAAAAAAAACCCTAACCAAAAAAAAAAACAACCAAAAAACCAAACCAGTTACAACTAAGTATTATCAGTGGTTTCACAATCAAGATTGTGTCTACATTCATAGAGGGAGAAGAAGAACAAAGACTAAGGAATTTGCAAATAAGAACTAGCTTCTCAAAGGGAATGTGCAGCTCTGTACAGCAACGTAGAAAGGTACAAATTCCCATTTAGTTCAGTTCATGGGATCAAAATGCATTTGACCTCACAAATGCTTTGTGTCCTTCATTGTTTTAACCTTGTATACCTTCTGTGAACAGACCAGTTCACAGAACTCTATGCAGTTATGAACGCAGCTCATCTCTGCAGCTGTTCCTTATGCATACAAGGCAGTTGGCAGCCTCCAAGTTGACCCTGGGGTTTGTTTGCTGCCCCCAGTTGGAGCCAAAACATGGAAGATGTCAGAAGAAAGCAGTGTACTGAGAAAAGAGTAACAATAGAAAGCCTTCATCACCCAGCCAAACAAAATTATCTAGAGATAAAAAAAGGAGCCAGAACAGTTCTTCCTCTTTCTCCGGTTGCTGTCATACAAGAAGGCAGGCTATATACACTGGACAGTTACGCTGCCAGTTCTGAAAGATCGAAGGGGCTGTATGCTGGTGGAGAGGAAGGAACCTAAGAAGAGGAACCAAGACAAAAGAACATCCTAGAGTGATAAGAAAATGGAGTCTGAAACACTAAATGTTTTCTTTCTCACAGTAAGTATCACATCCTCTAAGAATGAAAGGTGTTTGGAAGCTTCACATAACCTGTGCAGTATATGCGCAGCTTACATGTCCATGAAGAAATGAAACACATCAGGATGCTCACAAATCTGAAACTGTAGAAAAAGGGCTTCAGGGTGCTGTGGGGATTTTCCTGAACTGCCAAACATCATTCCTCTCTAGTACTGCAGAGGAAATATATTAGCAACTGAAAAGAAGGAGCAAAGATGCTACTCAGACTAAGAACTTAAAGGCCCAGAGGGCCAGCATGCTAGGATTCAAACACAGCATATTATGTCAGAAACTGGATTGACCAATAAGGTATAGAGCCAAATTCGTTAAAATGTCCATCTAAATATTCAAGGGCATTTCTTGAGCAACACATTTTTTGGAGTAACCTCAAGCCTCTAAAACAATATGTTTTGCAAAAGAATTCCAAGGTCTAAGGTTATACATGAACTGCACATGAAGTTAACAAAAATAATAATTAATTGTATTAGAACTTAGAAACTGAAGGAATATCCTGCAAGTAGTCTATTCTGTATGAAGATGTTTGACCCATTAAGAGATATGATCTTGCAAAAATTATCCTATTACATTAAAATAATAAAATTTATATATTACAGAATAATTTTATCACATTACCATGGTCTAAAATCAGTGATATTTCTCTCACTTTACACAGTAACTGGTATAATGACGGTGTTTGTAATTTTGAAAGTGTCATAACAAATTTAAGTACTGATAAAGTACACATCTAGTCTAACAACTGAGAAGGAGAAAGGAGGCTGAGTCAAGACAGTTGATGTCCAAAGATCAGTTTCTGAATGGGTGTGCAAATAAACTAGGTCATATAACTTACAATACCATGGTGTAATCAAAACTTGTAATTATACACATGAATGAACATATGAAACTGAAAGGCACCATTGCAACTGCGTTTACCCAATCTAGCTTACCTTCACCTTTTGTATTTCTTCGTAAATATAACAATACGTTACTCATCATACTGTTACAGTATTTTATTAATCCCACACCCAGACATGAAAAACAGGAAAAAATATAAATATGAATAGCAAAAATCGCAGATGGCCCTAACTTTATTCCCTTTACGCTTACATCTCTGTTCTTTTATAGGAAATGTAACTTTTGAAAAGGAAAAAGAATTCTTTGAGACATTTTGCATTTATCTTAGCAAAGCAACATTTCTCAAGACATTCAGAGATTATCTATGCCAAATTTCCTTCCTTATTTTGGAAAGCCTTTAATTGTCATGTTATATTAACCATACACTCCAGACATCTCGCTCTATTACTACAGAAAAAAACCAGCCAAACCACAAACAACCCACAATTCAACAGTTTTCCAATGAAAGCAAATATTCTTTTGTAGTTTCTCTACAAGTTCCAGATTACCTGGCATGCATCAACGCCACCATTAAGATTCCCAGCACACAGCATACGTGATGTGATGAGATCATCATACAGCTTGTTGCAAACACTTTGGTTAATTATTCTCACTCGAGCTTCCTGCAGTGTTTTGGCAAGGTGACCTAGAAAAAATACAAAAGGTAATGAAAAGGTTATGGTGGCACAGATTTCTAACAGAGATACCACTTGTCAAAACAAAAGAGAATTGCTCCAAACTCAAAATTTACCCAGCTGATGGCAGGAGAGTAATTCCCCTTCCTTCAACTGCTGCCTGCCCTCAGCTTTTGAAAGCTATTGTCTACACCACCCTCTAGACATTGAGGTCCCTATGCATCACCTTTCCCTTTCCTTAGTCTTTATCCTTATGAGCATCTTCTGCCAGAGAGCAGTAAAAAAAGCTATGCAAGTGATGAGTATAATACAAGATTGCACACAATGTGACTGATTTTGAATGTAATTTCAAATTATGCCCAAAGCTTTTTGTTATTTGTGCTCCAAACATTGTCCAAGTCCTAGTAAATGAAATTTCTACATTCTTTTCCATGCTCTCACTTCTAGGGAAGGACCTGAAGAATGAAACTGATGGTGGGGGGAGGTGTAATTAAAAAAATCAAGCCTGTAAGTCACAAATGATATTAAGAGCTTAATTCTGTACTACAGTATTTGCATAAGGTGTCATTGTGAACTAAACATCCTCAGTCATATTTTGGCTCAACAATGAACCCTTTCAACACCTGGCTGATCAGAGGAAGTACTGGGTTGTGATTTGTTTGCTCATTTGTCTCCAAGTGTGGGTTGGGAATGAAACAGGTAAGGTAGAAAAATACGGGGTTTTTTCCACATACAATTATAGCGATTTTTAAATATTACCTACATTATTTTGTTAAAAAGCAAGACATTGTAAGAAGGCATCAACTGTAAAGCCATTTGCACTTCATTAGGCTATTACATTATTATCTAGACTTAAATCTTTTTTTAAAAAAGGCACATTAAGAAAGCCAGAATTATCATAGCACACAGCTTCTGATCAAACATGAGGGATTATGTCTTAGTGCAATTGTGGGGACCACTGCAATGCTGAGGAACTGTCTAAGCCCAGGTTTCAAAACTGGCTTCAGTTTAATGCTGAGACAGGGCCAAGATCCAGTGGGATCCCCCACTGCCCCTTCTCCAACTCTGCCTTTTTCCTGCCTCCCCACTGCAGCATGCTACTCCAGGCTGAGCAGGCAGAACTCTTCATGGGACATACATTAAATAGCCTTTGGTTAAGACAGACAAAAAAAAAAAAAACCTCCACAGTATTTTTGCAATTTTTGCTGTTCATGGCCCCCATATTGTCAAACAGTCTTAAAGACACATTCTTTCTCTGCAATAGTTACAAGTCCCCGTTTTCTTTACCAGTAAGTTTGGTTATGACCTATTCACCGGATAAAATGAGCCATAAGCGTGAAAAGGGGCACATTTTTGTAAGTATATGATCATTTGCTTTGGAATGGTCTGTGACACCCAAGTAGGCAAATTGTCACTTATCACCTGCCATCCAAGCAAACATTCAAAATTCACAGACTGTAGCCACGGGAATATTTTCTAGCTTTTTGTAGACCTATTAAGTAAACAAGTATTATTTCTTACTACAATAAATATTTCATTGTTAGAGTTTAAAATCAAGCCAAACTTGCAAGAAGTATATCCAGGAAATTAACATACTATTTTCTTTCATGGCTCCCCAGCCAGTTACATAGCAGACAGTTCCATAAACAAATACTCTAGAGGTGCTGGGTAAACAAATGGGCTGTAGCAGCTCACTGAAGAATACAGGCGTCTCCATTTCCAACAGGGCAATATCATAGTCTGAGATAGATTGATCATACTGTGGGTGGACAATAATCCTTTTGATTGATCTCATAGCTACACGATTGCTCTTTTCATTAATAGTATGTAAGCCCATATATGCTCTCCATCCCGAAGGAACGGAGTATCTGTAAAGAGAATGTTTTTAGAACAGTAATGCAGAGTCAGTTCATCCATTTTATCTACTTACTGATATTTGATGAGATTCATCAAAACCGAAGTGAATGGAGTAAAATACCACTTAGGAAGATAGATGCACTACAGTCTCTGTCTCCTAAAATGTTAAGTAACGGGCTACAAGACCAATTCCTTGCAAGGCACCATGCTTTGCAAGTCAGAAAAGTGTATTATTAAACTGTATTTCCTCCTTGCCAGATGTAGGAGGTATGTCTTTTCAATTTACACTACCTAAACTGAACATTGCTGAGTTTTACACTCCACATCAATAAATAGTCCTTTCCTTGGGAAAAAAGGCAAGAACTTCTACTCAGAAAATCCCTCCCTTCTAAAAAAAAAAAAGTTATTTTCCCTAACTCCAGCAAAACAATGTGTTTTACCATGCAGAATTCACTGGAAATTGAGTCAAAATAGTTACTTCAGGCACTTAGGACTTTTGAAGCCAGCAGAATACAATATTAAGGGTTCACGTAGCAATATCATGTCACAGAGTTATATCCTTAATTACCTTAACTAGACAAGGAAGAACTACTGCAGACTTTTGAAAGCAACACTGTAAGGTTATTAAACTGAAAATACTCTATGACAATATAACTTCCTCATACCTCACAGAATCAGAATCCAGGAAGCAATGGGCAGCAGATACAAGCCACCTATTGGAAACAACAGATGCGCCACATACATGGCCATGTGCTCCCATCTGTAAACTTGCTTGCCAAGGCCACTTTCCAGATCTTGCATCTTCACCTCCAACAATTCTGGTTTTCTTAGGCTGGTGTCTTCCACAAGCTGATAGAAACAATTTAATAAAATAGTAACAAAAACCACATGGTCATTTTACTTTGCTATGGTTAATACATAAATTTTTGTCCATAGACCTCAAAGCTATTGGAAAAAAAATATTTTCTTACTCTGCAGTTGGTAAAAAGGTAATGGTACTCACCCATTTTCACTCAATGGGCAGGTCAGGAATAAACCAATCATTGCCTATCCTCCCTTACAGCTGTCTGAAGAGGCTAGTAATTCAAAAAGACATTCAAGCACAATTCTAAGCTGGGTTTTTTCCAAAAATTCACTTGAATTCAATCTCATATCTTTTCCCTCCTTACATATGCAACTCCTTGACTGCATTTCATTCAGCTCAAGCAAGCACTAAGACCTACCAGCTTAATCTCGAAGTGTGCATTGCTCTAAATAAGTCATCATAGACAAAATAGATCAGTGGATTTAAAATGAAACAGTGCAAAATTCAAGATAGAATTTTTCATGCAGATGTTACAAGGAGAATTTTTTTAAATTCACACCCAATTTAATCAATTCTTAATTCAATAATGCTTGACCATAGCACAAATTCCTGACTCAGTTTCCCAAGTCATTAACTAATTTTAAAATAAATGTTACCCCACCACAGTTCATTTCATCAGATCCATCTGCACAGTCTCTTTTCCCATCACACTCAGGATTGGGTTTCAGTAAGCATTTTCCATTGAGGCATTTGTATGCATAAGGGGAGCAACTTTTGTAGGCTGAAATAAGAGAGAGAAGATAGTGTCACATGTTTGGAGGCATGGTTTCAAATTATTAAAAATGCTTGCACACTCATTCTACTCAGTAGTGAAAGTTGTTCAAAGCTACACATTCCATTCTGCTTGAAGTCACAGTCTATACTGGGGTAAACTGGTCTCTCTGTGGAGAGAGGACAGGGGCAATGTTCCACTCTGATTAATGATCACACTAATTCCAGTCTCCATGGTCCATGAGGAAAGACAGAAGACCCTCTAACTGTCCTCACTCCCATTTTACTTAACTCTAAACTGAGCAAGCTAGGCTTGTCAGATCAGTTGTTTTACCTTCACCAGTGTTACTGGCATTACAAATTATAAATCTTCACAGCAGATATCATCTGGAAGTCATCCTTTTTGAGTGAAAGTTGACAAAATTGTGGAAAAGCTTTATACCTCCCTCCAAGAAACTTTTGGCTAAGGACTATCAGAGTTTACTATGTGGGAATCCTGACAGATCTCAACAATAGGCTTTCGTTACTATCATTCTTATTATCAGTTGTTTAGAGAGACCTCTAAACAGTGGAAGGGAGGTTGTTTTGGTTTTTTCAACAACCATGGACATACTCCTGGCTACCTCGAGGATCTAAGATTCAACGCAAGGCAAAAGTTATAAAGGCAGAATGCAGTAAGACACTAGGGAAACATTAGCTGTACCAGCAATGTCTGTAACCATGGTGTAACTACAATAAAGAAACCATGCATGTGGTGAAGGGCAAAAGTCCCAAAGCTATTCTGTCTCTCTCCCTTACATTATTTGGTACTGATCTGTCAGCAGCTGGGGAAAAAGTGCTTTTCTAAAGGAATCACCAGCAAGCTGTGGTTAGGTCATGTAAATAAAATCACTGTTATCTTGGATTTTGCTTCATTAATTTCTTGTCTAGACTCTCCCAAGAACTAGTTATACTCTCCATATTTTGTTTTCACTATTATGAAAATTGTACTTTGTTCTATAAAAAATTATATAGAAATACTACATTTTTACATTAAAATAAGCATATTCCTGTTTCTACCTTCCACCATCTTTTGGAAAATAGCTAAAAATATATACTTACAGCAGTTGTTTTCATCACTGTCCTCACCACTGCTGTCATCATCTTTACAATTCTTATACTGATGCTTACACTTTCCATCACCTGAGTTCAACTGTTCAGGAGTGCAACCTGAAGAAGAAAGGTCTGTAAATGCTTTATATAAATAGCTGGCTAGCAGCCGTGTGCTACACTCCCTATCAGAGGTCACCTTGATGTTACTGTGCCACCTCAGCCAGACATTACCTTGGTTTTGATAACCTTCAGTGACAGAGAGATTTGTTTCATTAAATAATTTGTGCTGCGTTCTCTGACCTTGGATCACCTTCTGGTCAGTCTTTCTGGCACCTCTTCTTTGTTCCCTATCTTCTTTGATGTACAGTGCCCAATTTGGATACAGTACTCTAGCTGAAGCCTTCCCACTGGTGACTGGGAAGATTTTTTCAAAATCCTGTCTTACATCCTAGCATGACACTTTGAAAAACACAACAAAACACCAAACACACAGATACAGAAAATCATATGTCTTTGTGCCAGAGTCATCTTTTGAGCCACTATCACCCCCCAGCCATTTCTCAGCAGAAAAGCAACTTAGGCAATCCACGTGTGTATTTGATTACCTAAGTTCAGATCTTGTCTTTATTGAGTGGAGTAAATTTTCTCCACATAGATTCTCCAGCTTGTCAGGATCATTTATAAAGCTATCTTTCTTTCTCTTGTGTGGCATTTTTCCTATTTTGTAAGCATCTGCTCTAATCCATCATTTAGATCACCAACAAAAAACTATGAGATGTCCCATAACAGGTACTGGCAGAATGGCAATAAATAGTAATTATTATTAATAATAAAAGAAATA